TTCCAGTATCTGAGGGGCTGCCACAGAGAGGGGGAGTCAAGCTATTTTCCAAGGCACCTGAAGGCCAGAGAAGGAATAATCACTGGAAACTGATCAAGGACCTGAAACTAAGGAGAAATTTTCTGATAGTGAGAACAATCAATAGAAGTTGCCTTCGAAAATTGTGGGAGCTTCATCACTGGAGGCTTTCAAAAAGAGACTGGACTGACAGAAATGGTGTAGGGTCTCCTGCTTGGGTGGGGGGTTGGACTAGATGACCTACAAGGTGTCTTCCAACTCTATTAATCTAATCTAATCTAATCTTATCTTATCTGCCAGTAATCTAATCTAATCATTTCAACAGTCAGCTACAAATATTCTCCTTTATCAATGCTGGGGAGTTGCAATTCAGCTCTATTGGAAGAACTTCAAATCCATCACTATTGCTCTAGGTCTAGGTAATTCATTCCAATAATGAACTACTTGGACCAAGAATTTATCCTGATCTTCAGCTAAAATCTTGCAACTAAGATACATAAGAGCTACCCACACAACTTTTGTTCGTTTGTATGTATGTATGTATGTATGTATGTATGTATTTATTTATTTAGCGTATGGCATGTATTAGCCAGGGATCGCCAAGGTGGCTGGCTGCCTCTGTGAAAGGAATTTTTTCAGGCGGAGTTATCTTTACCCGCGGGATGCCTGAATGCTGGTAGGCAATCGGGGGAGGCTCCTTTCTTGTCTCTCCGTGGTTTATTCGCTCATGGGAATCGAGCCACCGAGTACAACAAATGTCACACAGACTCATGCCTGCTTGGTATTTTCCTTAAATAGGATTAAGGTTAGGGGTTAACCCATGTTATATCCACATTTCTAGAAGGAAATGCTAGTGTAATTACACCCTTATTCTTTTTTCACTGACTATATTGTGTTCCTCCATCATAATTTGTTGAATTGCATCTCTATTTGCTAGGTGCTGCATTCTTTATTCTGTCGATTGAAAAACCAAAGTGCCATCAGTTTTTAAGTTAAGGACACATTAGCAAACCACTGACTTTCAGTAGGTTATTGCTGTGACTGAAATATGCATCTGCAGCAAAACTTATGTAAAACAGTATGCCTACTGCAAGATGCCTTAATGTTCATACATATGCATTAATATCAAACAGGGAAGATGCATTAATATCAAACAGGGAAGATGCATCAATTTTCCCATTAGCAAATTAACTGCTAGAAGGATTGGAGGCCGTGCAGTGTTGAAGACATAGGTCAAAGCTTGCAAAGTGGATGATGAAGCCCTTGCCTGAATAAAACTATCAAATAGGAGCATTGATTGTGACGGGATGAAGTAGGCTACATTCCCAGGAGTGCATTCCAGAGGAATAAGAGGCAGCTCATTCCAAATATTTAGTATGAGAAAAAGAGACTGGAGACAGCCCCTCCCTAATAGCTCAGAGTATATGCCAGATGCAGCTAGTAGAGTACTTAGTTGCCACAATTCTGTCTATAGGTGTGGAACAATAAAAAAAATTACTATGAGAATTAATACCACTTTATAAAACCTTAGTAAGACCATACTTAGAATAGCGTATCCGGTTTTGGCCACCACATTACAAAACAGAGGTTGAGGCTTTGGAGACTAAGACATATGAAGAACAATTGTAGGAATTGGGAATGGCTAGTTTAGAGAAAAGGAGGATTAGGGGTGACATGATAGCAGTGTTCCAATATTTGAGAGGTTGCCACAAAGAAGAGGAGGTCAATTTATTTTCCAAAGCACCAGAAGGCAAGACAAGAAACAATGGATGGAAACTAATCAAGGAGAGAATTTATTTTCCAAAGCACCGGAAAGCAGGACCGGAAACAATGGATGGAAACTAATCAAGGAAAGAAGCAACCTGGAATTAAGGAGAGACTTCCTAACAGTGAGAACAATTAACCAGTGGAACAATTAACCAGTGGAATGGCTAATTGTGGGTGCTCCAACACTGGAGGTTTTTAAGGAGAGACTGGACAGCCTCTTGTCTCAAATTTTGTAATGTCTCCTGCTTGAAAAGGGTTGGACCAGAAGACCTCCAGGGTCCCTTCCAGCTCTGTTCTGATTCTGAGTCCCTCATGGATAGCCAACCAATTGAATTTGATTCCAAATTGCTTGGAAGAATCACCACATGTCTTTCTTGGTTTTGGGGGCCTGACATTAATTTATTTGTTATGAGAACTTTGGGGTTCCTCTGGACTTGTGGGTGAATCATTACTCCTACAGATCATCCTTAAATGTTATAACAGATCATCCTTTGCAATGGTGGCTGAAGAGCTGCACAATGCAATTAGTCATTAGTTTTTAGCTATGTTTTTGAATGCCTTGGGTGATGCAAGCTTCTTTCTCCCAAGTGATATCTGTTTGTGAATGCCTCCTCACTGGCAGTGATTCAAAAGCTTAAGTGCAGAAGTGTTCCTTCCCCCACCTTTCCTGCACCTCCATATTCTATTACGGTTTGGCATTTGTCCTGTGTTGGTATCTCCTTTCAAGCACATATTCAGTTTTATTCCTTCTGCTAATACAAGGAGGCAAAACAAAATAAAAACAAAAAAACCCCCAACTTCTGACGCCCTGGCTGAGCTCACCTGTCATGCTAGGTCATGGTCTGTTTTATCCATGCTTCCTTGAATTAATCTAAGTGTCTGGTTCACACATATTGGTAATCCCTAAATTAGTTTCTAAACCACACTGGTTTAGTTCTATTCATCACCCAACTAAAAGTCAATTTTGGAATAGTGGTTAAGCTGTTGACCTAGAAACCAGGTAACTGGGAGTTCTAGTCCTCCCTTAGGAATGAGTTTACAGACCTGAGATAACTGTGGTTAGGCATTCCCCCCCAGTTGTCTCCTCTGAACTGAAATATCCAGTTTCAGATGGGAAAAATAAAAACTGGGTGTTTGAGAAATGCAGTTTTTAGATAGGATAGGGAAATTAATTAAACTGCAATTTGCAAATGCTAATGATTAAGTTGGGCTACTCACATATGTTGAACTATAACTCCCATCACTTTCTAGCCATGCTGATCAAAGGCAATGGCAATTGTAGTCTAACATACCTAGAAGCACTAGTAAAAGTAGCCTCAACTTACAACTAGTTGCTTAGGAAGGGTTCAAAGTTACAACAGACTTCCCCAGGCTTCCCCAGATTCAAAGTTATCAAGGGGACACAGACACAGATACACACACACACACACACACACACACACACATCGTGGTTACATGATTGCATTTTGGGTGCTCAACAACTGGCCCACATGTATGGATGTCTGTGGTGTCACTTCACAATTTACTTGTTTTGTCAGAAACTGGCGTTTACTTCGGATTTCTGACAAAAACGCCCATTGTGGATAATGGATTTTGCTTCATGAACATCACCAAAAAAAAATCATATAATTGGCCATAGTAACATGGTGACCTCCTTAACAACTAGCACAACTTACAACCATAATTCTGGGCTCAATTAGAGTCTCAAGTCAAAGATTCTCCATATAAGGAAGTTTGCTACACTTGTATTTAGAAATATGTAGAAAAATAATTATTGGGGAGGGACAAGTAAAGGTATGGGGAAGTGTATAAACTCTATTTTAGGATTGACCAAAACATTCCTGGGCTTAACATATTTTTCTTTAATTTGATCTCTGAATCCTAACTGAAATCATTAGCTGATCTTAAATTCTTTTGGAAGAATTCTCCATCTGCATGTGGATCACTGCGTTGTAACATAAATGCAAGTTAGGTTCGAGTTATGTGATGCCTCTCAGCATTATGACACTTGGAACTTTCTTCCTATATAGCTTGAAAATTATTTTTTTTAATAATAATAGGTTTTTAAAAGAGCTAAAATCATGTGTGAACACTAAGTCTCCAAAGGTGTTGATGTTCCAACTGACATCTTGCAATATTTTCCATAAGAACACACAACGTGATATTTGGCAATTTCCTGAGGTTTTAGTCACTTTGGGCATTTGTGGCTAGGTCAATCTGCACTGCCTTTGCAGGTTCTCATCCTGGGAAATGTTTTAAAAACAGAGCAATTTCACCCGTTCAAAGTTTGCCATCTCCATCATTCTTCACAAGAAGGGAGGGAAAATTACATAGAGGAGTTAATCCAAGGATAAACATTTATTTATATTTATTTATTTTGTTTTTGCTGAATCATTTAGTTTTGATGTCTCACTTGTCTACCTTGTTACTTTCATTCAAAACAAATGCTAGTAATGAGATACACTGAATAAATTGAATTAGTATTTTGGCTGATGCACTCCCTCCCATATAAGGGATATCTATTCTCAGATAGGCACATTGTACCTTTTTTAAAGCTGTAAACTTTGGAGGAAGCAACAGCAAGCAAGGATGGTCAGGCCAAGGTGAATTGGGGTTTAGTTGTGTCAGTTTTGTCAGCTGACAGAGCCCTAGATAAATCATTACCTCAGGAATAGGGTAAGTTTCAACCAGCCATATTGCACAAACTTTGTCCATTGAATGGTTCATCAAGTTATGGATTTTTAAAGTATGGTTTTATCAATGACTTGAAATTGGATGGATCCATTCAACCTATGAAGCCCAAAGCAACCACTTTGGTGCATTTGTTTATGAGACTTATCTAAATGCATGGCTCTGGATAACTAACCATGTTTTTAAAAAAAATACAAAGAAAAGCATAAAACGCACAGCAGTCAGGGAAAAAATATATAAAAGCAATAGGTCAACACAGCTCTAACAATGGGTCTGCCCTTGATCATCTGAATCCAATTCTAATCTGGTTACTGTGAATTCTGAGAAGACCTAACACCTGGAAGCCACCACATCCTACAAGATTACCTCCAGCTACTGTATTTCAGCAATCAAGACTAGACTGATTCAGAATGTCAAACTGCAGAAGTTATTTGGGGGAAACGGCAGAGAGGGGAAAATTAAAAGCACAACTCTAATTGCATTTGGAGAGAATCAATGGCAACCACCACACCGACCCTACACACCTGCCAGAGTCATCAGCACATCGCAGTTTTCTGTGGGGACCGTTTTCATCCACGATTTATTGGACATGATGTAACGCCCAGCCTGCAGCAGACGTTTCCCAAACAGCTTGTCTGTGAAGAGAGAAGTACAGATGGTGAATCACTGAGTGCTTTTGGAACCAGCATCTTTTAATTGAGCTGAGATGCATTGAAAAGAAACTTGGATGCCCTCTCTTTTCTCTCCTGTGAGGGACCCGCCTTGCCTCTCCTCTGATTTGCAGAAATGTCAGGCCTAAGTCCAGAGAAGACGCAGCAAAACCTAATCAAGTTCAGCCCTTGACTTGCTGATACCTAGTGAACAGAATCTTGCCAAGCTAAAGCTATAACTTTAGGGTTGTCAAACTCAAGGCCCGCAGGCCAGATCTGGCCTACAAGGTGCTTAGATCTGGCCCATGAGGCCATCCTGGAAACAGTAAAGGACTGGCCCATGGTGCCCGCCAGTGAAAATGGAGCTTGGGTACGGTGCATGTGGTCCTCCCAGGTCCGCTTTCGCTGGCTGGAGGAGGTCATCACAGACAAAAACAGAGCCTGGGAGGACAATGGATTCCGCCCCGCCCAGGCCACCACAGATTCCCCCGACACAAGTGACATTGATGTGGCCACGCCCGCCAGTTGTCCCCCCCCCCCCCCCGAGGTCAAACACAACCCTGATTGCGGCTCTCAATGAAATAGAGTTTGACACTCCTGTACTAGATATATATCATTAGAGATTCTCAGATGCATCTACCCTGAACCTCTTCCCCTTTCCCCCATCCAGTTTAGGGCTGCACAATCTCCGAATGCTGGCCTGTCTTTGGGGAAGCTCTGGGTTGTCAAACCTCCAGGGGTGGGCTACTGGGGGGCTCGCGAGAGCCCCTAGCTAAGACTCTGCAAGGCTTGGAGGGCCCCCAAGAACCTCAGGAAGATAAGCAGCAAGGGAAAGCTCTTAATAGGCTTAATTGAACTTCTGGGCGTTTCACCCCTCGTAAAAGTGTTGCAAGCTAGATAAACAATCCACTCAGCGCTTGGGAGGGAGAGCCATTGAAAAAAATCAGATAATATAGCCATTAGCCTCCAAGGGGATTAATCCCCAAATAATAAGAATCACGTAACTCACCAGGACCTCCACTAAGACTCCAAGATCCCTCTCACAGTCACTGCTATTAAGCCTGGTTTCACTCAGTCTTGTATTTAAGTATTAAATGCATGAAATAATACACAACTTTTTGGTATATATCTTTTTTTAGGTAATTAAGGCCAAGAAGCAACGTCGAGTTGGCCACACCCATCCAGTCACATGACCACCCAGCCACACCCATCCAGCCAGTCATTAGGGCAGAGAGCCCCTTGCTAAAAAAATTTGAATCCCACTCCTGCAAACCTCCCCCACCGACTCCTCCTCCAGGTGCAGGTCCTGTCACATTCAGAGATTGGAGTGGGATGCTTGGATTAAGAGCAGGCCCCTCCTCTGATCCAGCCGAGCTTATATTAGGGCTATCTATTGCCTTCTCTACCTTAGAAAGCCATCGGAGCTTTTCATGTTCAGAGACCGTGTTTCAGAACAACCAGTGCAAAAGGAAGTAACAGCGAAAAGATTTTTTCCAATGAAAAATCCTTTCCCCATGAAATATCTTTTCCCACCCTCTCACTAGGTTAGGCTACTGGTAGTCTTCCACTTACGATCACAATTGGGCCCAAAATTTATGTTGCTATTCGAGAGAATTGTTAAGTGAGTTTTGCCCTATTTTACAAACTTTCTTGCCGCAGTTCTTAACTGAATCACTGCAATTGTTAAGTTAGAACCACAATTGTTGAGTGAATCTGGCTTCCCCATTGACTGCTTGTCAGAAGGTTGCAAAAGGTGATCATGTGACCCTGGGACACTGCAACCGTCATAAATATGAGTCAGTTGCCAAGCGTCCAAATTTTGATCAAGTAGCCATCGGGATGCTGCAAGGATCATAAGTGCAAGAAACGCTTGTAAGTCGCTTTTTTCAGTGCCGTTGTAATTTCAAACAGTCACTAAACGAATGATTGTAAGTCAAGGACTACCTGTACAATTATGTCCTGCTACTGCAAGAATGCTCATCCCAGCTCAGGATCATGGGTACAGCAGGCAAAAAAATCTGAAGACACAGGGCTGCAGAAGGCAGCTTCTCTGTGATACCCACATAGCCACAATTGAAAACTGATAATGAACAAGCCAGAATCTCTGTTCTTACTGTGATAGAAAATCCTTCAACATTAAACAGTAGAACGTTAAATTCTGAATGAACAATCCAAATCTACTGATAAGTTGTTCAGACAAACCTATGCAACCATATCAGTAAAAATGCATTTCTATTCATCACATTGCTTATTTTTCTGAATGCATATCAAGGACTTGGGGCCATTGGTGACCTCATGGAAACCTGAGGATTAGGGCATGTTTTGAGGGAAGAAGTTGGACTCCGATGGGAAATCTCAGTTTCTCCCTTTGCTGGAAAGGATCTATAAACACTTTTGTGACATAGGAGCAGAAACAGTTCAGTGCAGAAGTTAGGCTAAGTAAGTGCCTGACGTTAAGAGGGCAGGAACCTTGGTGGAAAACAATTTAGATCAGGCATGTCTAACCTGCACATGTGGCCCTGGACAGCTAGAATAATGCGGCCCCCACAATGTTATAATGAAAAATATTAAACAGCAAATAAAATTTGTTATTTATATACATTAGCTATATTATATAGTTTATATGCAGCCTATGGCAATCCCTTTTCACTGAAAGTGGCTCAGGCAAGCCAAAAGGTTGGACACCCATGGATTACACAGTCTGCCTTTCCTCTTTCATATCCCCAAACTGTGCCCTGGTTAAGTTTAGCTCCTTCTTCATAGGGCTGCCAATCCTGTCCTCTGCCAAAAAAAAGTGTTGTGCCTATACATTCAACAGCCACACAGGCAAAAATTCAACAGGGGAAGTATTTTCCACCTCAAGCTGGGCTTTATTTACAGTTGCAGGCCCAGAAGTCTATCATAATTGGAAGTCCATTGCTCTGCCGTTCCCAAAAAAAGGACAAAGGTGTTCTTAGGAAAATACATATAAAAGCCAGAATAATTTAATAATCCATAATACATAACAGTGATTTACCTCCTCTTGCACCACCAAGAAGAATAAAGTGCTCTTTATTCTTTGTTTAATGCATTCTTCTTGCAGTGCAAGTCAATTCTTGCTAAAGGTTGTATCAGACCTATAAACCAGCACCTCTTCATTCAAGCTCCCACCTCTTCAAGGGACTCTTGTTTTTCTCTCTCTGGTTCATCTTGATTTGCACATAAACCACGCACACATGCACACACGTACACACCAGTTTGCACAAAAGGATCCCTTTTATCCGTTGCAAGATAGACCCAGCCAGATGTCACCAAGAACGCATACTTCTTACGTATACTTACTATTGGGAAATCTCCGCTGAAAAGATGGAGAAATGGGGAGGGGGAGGCGGTGGGAATGTTGAAACTAGACATCTCTATGGCAACCAACTCAATGATGGATTTCCCAGTAGTTTTGGTTGTTCTCAGCATATATCGAGTCCACTGATCTACAGTTTCTGCCTGCTGTCCACTAATAAGCTATTAAAGGTCCAAAATTTGCAACAGGAGCAAAAACCAGAATTTGGCTTGCCTTGCGTCAGAAATACTGTGCGGGAAACAAAACCTTCCCTAGTGAGATGTGAAGAAATTTCAGTTCCCAGAATTTGCAACGTGGCCTATAAGTGATGGCAGCGGTGGCTTCAGGATCCATGCATACCGGTGCAGAAATATTTGTGGCTAGCTATAACCAAAAAGCCACCATTTAATTTATTTACTTATTTGATTTCCATAACTGCCCATCTGTACAAGTAAAACGTGCCAATTGTGGCACATTTGCATAGGCTGCAAAGCTAAAAGATTAGAGAGAATAGAGTCCAATGACAAACTTCTTGCATGCATGAATGTCATGTGTAGTTTCCTAAGCCCATGGGCTTGACATGTAAATCCAGACAGAGGAACATATCGTAGTCTTGATTTAACCATTGAAACATTTAACCATTGAAACAAATGCTATTTAATTTTCTAAAGCACCTGAAGGCCAGGAATAATGCATGGAAACTGATCAGGGAGAGATTCAACCTGGAAGTAAGGAGAACTTTTCTGACAGTGAGAACAATCAACTAATGGAACAGCTTGCCTTCAAAAGTTGTGGGAGCTTCACCACTGGAAGCTTTCAAGAAGAAACTGGACTACCATCTATCAGAAATGGTGTAGGGTCTCCTGCTTGTCGGGGGGGGGGGGGTTGGACTAGATCAGTGGTCCCCAACCTTGGCAATTTTAAGACTTGTGGACTTCAACTCTGGGAGTTGTTATTCTGTATCTGTAACACCAAAGGAAGATAGGCTCTAAAGAACTATAGCTTTTTAGATATTTTACAAATATGTTTCTTAAAAATTTTAAAAATTTAAATCTAAAAATCTAAGTATGTTTACTGTTTTGCTGTTTGCTACCCAGAGTTACTTTTTGTAAGATGGGTAACCATATAAATTTGATTTAAATAAATAAGTTTTCCAGTAACATCACAACATCCCTAAGATGGGGATGCACTGCAGCCCCCAATTCTCCCATTATTTCACCTCTGGCATATTGTGACAGGGAACCCAGTCAGAAAGTTCTCCAGGGAAGAAAGAACTATACATGCCACTGGATCCCTTTGGAGAAGAGCTGGCTATAATGATTACTCCTTTAATCATTATCTTCAGAAATGTTTCTGCCCAGGACATGTTAGCTTATTGTTGCTAAACGTAGCAATGAGGACTAGAAGCTTGTGTGGCAAAAAATCCAGCTAGACTGGAACAGGCAGCAGCAGAAAATAGATGCGAAGGCAGAACCTGGCCCAAAGCCAATGGGCTACAAAGATTAGCACATCTGGAAACAAATATGTCAAGACAAGCAGGACTCATCTCCTTCAGCAGGTAGTTAATGGAGAGAAAGGGCCCAAGGGTTCCCTGGAGTATGAATCACACCCTGCTATTTTGCAATAGTTTTATCTAGTCCTTTTCCTGAGAAATAAAAGTTTCGCTGTT